ACGTTTATTTGAAACTGGTACATTTCTCTGGAGCTCTGCAGCAATTTCTGTTAGCTGCAGGAGGCCAAAACCTTTAGCTAAAGTGTAGAGGAATTATTAATGCTGCACTTACTTCACACTTGGGTGTTATATTGTAAAATACAGAAACAAGACAGAAGGGGAAATGGTATAACTTTGGCAACAGCTGTTTTGTTGACTTTCTTCCTTGAATGTGAAAATATAATGCTACAGTGCTTTTGTGTGATGCCACCTGCTTGAACAAGTGAGTGATGAAGGAAACACGTGTCAGAATGTGCCTGGGGAAAATATCCCAAGTTTCAAGGTAGCTTAAGTTATTCTTTAAATTTGTCTGGCATAACTTTTGTTTAAAGTGAATGTATAGCAAAAACTGTTTGTTTTTTATTTATTTTTGGCAAGAGTAGGGAAGTGTTAAAACCCAGTCAGTTTTTTTTTTTTTGCTGCCTATCCCACTGATTTCGCAACACTTTCTTGTTGATGGTTCTCTATAGATATCCTCAGATATCCTCAGCAGGTACACACACTGCAATGATTACTTGACAGTTGTTCTAACCCTTTCCTACTCGCTTCCTAACTTGAAAGCAATGCATGCTTTAGAATCATATTTTAAATATACAATACAGGGAACATGGATGGATGTCATGAGTTACAGTGCACAGCATAAATGAGTACACTCCCAAGAGATTTGTCAGAAAACCTTTACTTTTATTTCAGAAACATTTTCTATGGGACCCTAAACAACAAACTAAATACTCCTACAAGTACCGGCCGTTGATTGCAAACAAGAATTGTTCATTTCCACACAAAAAAAAGTGTTTTTCCTAACAAATTCATTCAGGAACATGTTGCAAAAATGAATACACCCCATTGAAAGTCCTAGGAGCAAAATCTTAATTATCAAGAATTTTAACTACAGGTGAGTCTAATTATTCATTAAACAGGTGTCCAGCAGACAGTTGATTATAAAAGGGCATTACTTAACAAATAAAACCCTCTTCCTATTTCATGCTGTCAGCAATGGCACCACATGGAAGAGAAATGTCACAAGGCCTGAGAGAAAATAATTTCTTTAAACAAGAAAGGTGAAGGCCACAAGAAGATCAGCAAAGCTTTACTTATCAGTTAGAATACTGTAGCAAAAGTGATCAAACATTTTACAAAGATGGAACTGCAACCATCCCACAGATATGTCCAAGCTGTTCACGGAAGTTAGCACCTTGACAGGAGTGTCTTCTAAAGAGAAAGAAATAGACCATCTTGCGCTTATATAAGTGACCCTACTATAAGCTGCTATCACTCAACCTATACCAAAAGTGAATAAACCATAAGTGTAAACAGTGAAGCGCTAGAGATAAATATAATATCAACATAAACTATACAGTGTACTGTTAAGATATTAATTATTATAATATTAAGAATGTAGTAATGATAAGTGACAAATAAACACACTGTGCTCTGATCACATTATGATCCAATAAAGTGCAACTCTAGTGATAACCACAATATGCACTTGTGGTGACACTCCGTGATCCTAATCCCCCTTATTTAAATCCTTAACAGGATAAATATGGTGATTAAACAATCGTGGTCCCATATATAAAGGGAAAATATAATAGTGTTTGGTGTATGGTATATATGTTCATTGGACTTTTTGGGAGGATTTTGTTACTTACGCTTAAATTTTGGGCATTTTGTCTCTTTAGGGAGGCACTGACTATTATTTATAAGTTTTTTTAATGTTTATAAGGCACCAAACACTATTATATTTTCCCTTTATATAAGTGACCACGATTGTTTAATCACCTTATTTATCCTGTTAAGGATTTAAATAAGGGCGAGTAGGATCAGAGTGTCACCACAAGTGCATATTGTGGTTATCACTAGAGTTGCACTTTATTGGATCATAATATGATCAGAGCACAGTGTGTTTATTTGTCACTTATTCCTACATTCTTAATATTATAATAATTAATATCTTAACAGTACACTGTATAGTTTATGTTGATATTATATTTATTTCTAGCGCTTCACTATTTACACTTATGGTTCTAAAGATAAAGGTTGAAGAAAATCGCCGAGCAAGTTCACTGCAGTTAACTAAAGAAGTAGAAAGCCAAACTATGTGATTGTTTCCCGTGACACAATATGGCGTACACTGCAGAGGAATGGCTTGCATGGGAGTCATCCACGAAGGAAGCCTCTCCTAAAGCCAATGCACAAAAAAGCCTGCCTATAATTTGCCAGGTCCATTGCTGAAAAAGAAGAAGACTACTGGGACTCTGTACTCTGGAGTGATGAGACCAAGATAAATGTTCTTGGAACTGATGGCTTCAAAACTGTGTAGCGTTGCAAAGGTGTCCTTCTGTGGGGCTGCATGAGTGCTGCTGGTGTCAGCGAGCTGCATTTCATTGATTGTGTCATGAATTCACAGATGTACTGATCTATATTGAAAAAGAAGATGCTACCATCACTCCATGCCCTTGGTCGTTGTGCACTTTTCCAACATGACAATGATCCAAAACACACATTTAAGGCCACGGTAGTGTTTCTGAAGAACAGGGTGAAAGTGATTCATTGGCCAAGTATGTCTCCTGATCTGAACCCAATCGAACACCTATGGGGAATTCTGAAGAGGCAAGTTGAGCATCACTTTCCATCCAGCATCCAAGCTCTAAAAGAGGTCATTCTTGAAGAATGGAAAAAGATAGATGTTGCAATATGTCGCCAACTTGTTCATTCCATGCTTGTTGCTGTCTTTACAAATCATGGACGTCAGAAAAAATACTAGATGGAGTAGTTTTGTTGTGGGGTGTATTCGTTTTTGCCTCAACTAATTTGAGTAAAACTGAAGATTTTGTAATCTAAGTAATATTACCCTTACTTTCATGTAATGATCTAAACAAATGTTGTATAAAACTCAGTTTTGTCAATATTTTGGAATTGTTCTTGTGTTCATTGAGATATTGATTAAAATCTTACTTTTCAAAAGGGTGTAGTCATTTATGCTGAGCACTGTATGTGCCACTACATTCAGGTTATTGGACACTGGCAAAAGGTTTGCTTCAATGTCCCCTGTGCTTCCACGTAACTCTGCCCAGTCTATTAGACTTCAGTGCTAACCTTGGTGCAACAGGTATAGTTAGCCGCTAGAACTTTTTTTTTTTTTTTGCCTTTTCTAGGGCTTGTGTCCTGAGGGAACCAGTCCCTCCTTCCCTGCCAGAATCCAATCTCTCTGTTGGGATTCTTGGGACCTTTCAGCATCAAGCATTTGTTTTTTCACAAGTTTTCTGGGCTACCACCTGATCCACAGTTTCACCGTTTTTTGCCAGGTGGCTCTTTGGGCCTCTGCTGATGCATGCTTCAACCACTAAGTGCTTCTGCTGGTGGGCCTCTACTGATGCGTGCTTCAACCACTAGATGCTTCTAGTGTTGGGCTTCTGGTGATGCGTGCTTCAGCAACTAGGTGCTTCTGCTGTTAGCAGTCTGTTTGGGTTTATTGACCCTTCCTGTTCTTTTTGATGGGCCTTTTGCTGCTGCTTTGGCTATTGCCCACCCCTCTGCTTATTACTTAAGGACATTTGTGGTCTAAGAATCAAACGCCTGTGTCCTGTACTGTACAATTATTGTAAAATAGGAATTTTGACTTGCTTGTAAATTCTATAACTTGTACTGCAGTATGGGACACAGACCTCTTTCTTCTCTGATCTCCTTACTACTTGCCAACAAACGGGAGCGTCAGAGTGGGTGGAGTCATTTGATACAATGGGGAGGAGGGGACTTTTCAGTGTCCAATCACCTAAAGATAACGCCTTAGAACTCATGGATTAAGAATCAATTTTTGCGACCTCTGCTGCACTCGTAAGATGTGGAATTTACAGCTAATTTAACATTCCAATATTTGCAATACATTTAATACAAGGTGCATTCTTGACCCTCAGCTTACAAAGTATGTTAGTTTTTCTAATACGAAAGCTTGGCACTGCTTACATGTGAATAGGATAGCTAAGGTGTTCCTTCTCTGCTAGGAGAGGTCAGGCAGTGTGTATGCTAATCAGGTTTGGTTTTAGCACAACAGTCTCATTACAGGCTGCCTTAGCTACACTGCATTCTGTTTAGTGTGCCACCTACTTGATGCAATCGATAAATTATAAACAAAACTTAATTTCTTATTATACAGAAAAAGTCTATATGATTTGTATTTGCTTTGCTCTCGGTTGCTGAACAGAGTGATGGAGAACAGAGAATAGAGGAGTGTGTGTTGCTGTAGAGGGGACATTAAGCAAATCTCTTGCTGTGTTCTGTATGGACAAAGCTTGGTTTCTGTAATGCAAAAATACTAATTTGAGTGACATTGGATATGCAGTCAATGGTAAGCTTGTGGAAGCCTATACGGTTCTCTCAGCTTGTGTTGTATGATATCGATATCCTTGTTAATGAGACCTGGCTTTCCCAATGTCTGCCCCTGCTCTTCAGGGTCTGCCCCATAAGAAGTGCTTGCTCTGGGGGCAATTGTGCAAGCTCGCCCCAAGGCAGGCTGTGTGTCTATAGACATACATAGTGTGACACTGTCCCACCCCTAGCTCCCTCCTCATTGAATTTGTTTGACAGCAGCAGCAGTCAATGGCTCTCTCTGCTGCCTGAAACAGTGAGGGGAGAGAGAGCAGTGATGCTGCTCTCAGGCACAGCGCTGGATCAAGGTCTGTTTTAGATAAATATTTAGGGGGGCTGGGGAGGAACTATTCTTGGAAGGTGTTTTACTTAACCTTTATCCTGTACAAGCACTTTAAGTATTTACAAAATGAACGTTAGATTTTCTGCAGACCTTTTTACATTAGATTTTCTGCAGCACAAGTGTAAATGTGTTTGTATAATGACAGCAGTAGGTGCATGCATTCAATTATATCTACCCTAAAAGCTCCTTTTATTGATTTTATGCCTAGTTACATTTTGTTTCTAATTTTTTTTTTTCTTCTTCTTCACAGGCCAAAGAAATTACGCTTCCACCCCAAACAGCTGTATTTTTCTGCAAGGCAAGGAGAGCTACAGAAAGTCTTAATGATGCTTGGTGAGTAGCTGCTGATGCTGTCCATTTACTTCTGCCCAAATGAAGGTTTAGAAGTTAAAAGATAGCTGAACACAAGAACAGAAATGTAAGATATTGCACCTTACAGTCCTTAGATGTGGCTGCTTCATTGCACAGATTTTAGGTCACATTAAAGTGGTAGTAAACACTGTATTTTAACTTGTTCCTCCAGATAAGCTTACAATCAGGTTTACGTGTCGGTACAATGAATACAGTATCTCCTAAATGTGTACCGTTTAGGAGATATTCATATCAGCAATAGCTAATGACGTCACCGGCGCATGCGCTCTTATGTGAATGAGTGCCTACAAGTCACTGCAGCCTTAGTGGCTGTCAGCTTGTAGTTTTCAATGAACTACCATGGTACTGTGGAGCGCCGTGGTAGTTTATTGAAGCTTCCTGTCAGAATATCTGCTTGACTGTACATCCTGTATGGTAAGCAGATATTCTGACAGGAGACCTTCAAGGCATCGGCGATCTGCTGATCATTGGTGCAATGCTTTACAGGCTCCTTTAGACAAAAATAATAAATGCACATTTTTTTTTACCTGCAAAATGTATTATTTTTGTCCAAAAGGTGAACTTATCCTTTAGGTTAATCATAGCTGCATGTCTCAGCTGGAGATAAAAGAGAAAGTGTGTAGATGAAACCCCAAACTGTCTGCATTGTAGAGAAATGGTTCAGTTAATTTTCCTGAAATAATTGATGCAAGGACTTAAGACCCCTAGAGGGCAAATAACCTGCACTGGGTGCTGAAAGGAATTCAAGGAGAAGGGGGTTACCCCATATAGGGATATTAACAGAGGAGGGCCCAGTCAGAATCACAGATACACAAGTTAACATACTAAAGGGTTTTTAGAGAGATTATTAAGGAGGTACCTGGTATGTGTCCCGTAGTTTGCCTATTAACAGCATTGTATAGGGATTCAAATGAGGACATAACTGCCACCTCTGTAGCTGTGCATGCATTATCTCGGTTAGGCTGTAGCTAATCATAAATGGGTATCAGTTGGGCAGCTAGATAATACAGGTGAAAATTGGGAAAAGCCAGCCCCCCCGTTTGACCAGTATTTGCAAAGGAAGAGAGATTCTGGCAGCCCTTATTATTCCAGATTAACAGATTGCAAATAGTGGTGATATTTTTAAAGTATTTTTTCGGTATGGTAAATGGAGAATTTGCTAGAATGTAAAAAAAACTTGGGCAAGAAGTGCATCTCTATAAGATTACTTCTACCCATGAGATCTAAGAGTACGAACATCCATAATTTAAGCTTTTCCCAAAATGGTCAATGAGGAGAGCCAGGTTATGCTCTGTGCATCGGGATACGGGTAGTTGAACAATTATACCGTGATATTTAAAGCGGTCCACCATCCTCTGGCGAGAACCAGGGAGTACACTATTAATGTTTCTGGGTCTAGGAGTAATAGGATAGACCTTCCAAAGCAATCCAGTAAGATCAATAAATGGAAAACAGACTGATTTAATATCCTCTAACTAAATCAGGGAGTCATCTGAATAGAAGGATGCATGTTCATCAAGTGTGTTGATTTTAAGACCCTTAGTAACAGCTGACCCTCTCAAGAGCAGCGACAGGGACTCCATGGCTAATGAAAACAAACCGTGTGACAGCGGATAGCCCTGCCTCATGCCCCTTTAAATACAAAAAGGTTTCCGTGGTGGTAGTATTAATCCTGATCCTTGTCCAGGGGCAGTATATGGAAGGGTCACCCACTTGGGGGGATTGATTCGTTTGGGGCCGAATCCAAACATAGAGAGTGATATAAATGCTTTCATAGGAGATTGCATCTCATACATTAGGGTATATGTCAGCATAACAAATACATAAACAGTATAAGCAGTAAAACTGTGAAAAATGACACCACTCTTTGCATATATCCAAAAATAAGCTTTATTACAAAAATATTCTAATTAGAGAATGAGTATATACACATCCACACTCGCCCCTACACAATTGACAGTGTTGTCAAGGAATTCTACGTTGATGTAAAATCCATCCTGTCACCCTCTCAAGTCAGGCAGCAAGTAATGTAAACCAGTATAAAGTAAGTCCGCAACAAAAATATACAAATCAGCAAAGGCAATGTAACTTGGAAAAGATTCTTTCAAAGTGTGAAGATATTTGTTGGCTCAACGTGTCAAGGGTTACATGACTGGTAACAGTACACTCTTGAATGATTCCTCTGGGAATTCACCCTTGCTCATGATGGACGTCAGAAGGAAAATGGAATGAGGGGACAGGCCAGCACACACTGTACACAGGCCCACAATGAGGTTATTCAGTGTTCTTCCCAAAACTGTGCTCCTGGGTCTTTGGACCTCAGTTCCACACCTCTGAGTCTCCCCTTACCTTTTAGTGTACTTTTTAACTAGAGAGGAATTTTCAGCCTCTATGGCAGACCTGAAAAGGAAAAGTCTTTTCTCTGATAGAAACTGTGGGACACCGCCAGTCATTGTCCCTGGCTGAGTCATTGTCCAATTCATCCATTGCAGCAGAGTTGCTTGCTGATGCACATGGAGGAGGAAGATGAGGAAGTGAAAAGTGAATCCTCATCATGTAAAAAGTACACCCAGGAGGATGGGTAGTTGCCCTCTACCTCTCCTAAGCTGAACAAAATCATTAAGGTTCTGGTGAATGAGGTGCACTCCTGTTTGAAGCTAGATTAGTCCCCACCTGCTGGATCTAAGGTCACGAGTATGGGATCTCTTCCTAAGTCCAAGAAACCTACTAGTTTCTCTTCGCTTTACTCACTAATGTTGGACTTTCTGTATGAGGACTGGCCACAGCCAAAGTATATATGCCTTCCAGGAGGTTTGTGCAACAGTAGCCAGTGGAGGAAGCCTAGTGTGCACACACACAAAAAAAAGCTTTGGACATACTGCACTAACAAGGCTTGTTTGACTTGTATGCCATGTTTGGTCTGTCATACCCCCCTCCCCCCCCCCAAAAGTTTGTTTTCTCTTGGCCAATCTTAATTGTAAGATTTTTCTTGTGCCTATCACATCAGTCAAACAGATCCCAGAACTGGTGGCCTTATCCTGTACAGATTCCTTCTTTGTTCATAAAGATAAAGTGAATTTGAGGCCTGTGGTCTCCTTTCCTGCTTAAGGTGGTTTCCACCCACTTTATTCAGGACATTGTCCTGCCTTCTTTGTCCTTCTCCAAAACACCTCAACTATTATTATTATTATTTATACAGTATTTATATAGCGCCAAAGGGTATGCTCAGCGCTGTACAGTAGCAAGGGGGACATAACATGAGACAAGACAGTAACAATACATTACACGAATGGTTCGAGGGCCCTGCTCTTTCGAGCTTACAATCTGGGAGGGAGGGGAAGGTGGCACAGGAGGAGATGGCTGTGGGGGATGGAGTGGTGGGAGGAGTGGAGGAGGTTAGTTGTTAGGTGAGGTCGGGTGTTAGGTGAGGTTGGGGTAGGCTTCTCTGAAGAGGAGGGTTTTCAGGGTGCGCCTGAAGGTGAGGAGGGTAGGTGACAGTCTGATGGATTGGGGTAGGGAGTTCCAGAGGATGGGGGAAGTCCTGGAGAAGTCCTGCAATCGGGCGTGGGAGGAGGAGACCAGGGAGCTAGAGAGCAGGAGGTCCTGTGAGGAGTGGAGGGCACGGGTAGGGTAGTATCTGGGTATCAGGTCAGTTATGTAGTTCGGGGCGGCATTGTGAATGGCCTTGTAGGTCAGGGTTAGCAGCTTGAACTTGATGCGTTGGGCAATCGGGAGCCAATGAAGGGATTGGCAGAGGGGGGAGGCAGATGTGGAGCGCTTGGTGAGGTGGATGAGTCTGGCCGCTGAGTTTAGGATCGACTGGAGTGGGGATAGCGTTCGTTTGGGTAGGCCAGTGAGAAGGGAATTGCAATAGTCCAGGCGTGAGATGATGAGGGAGTGTACGAGTTGTTTCGTGGTGTCTGGGGTGAGGAATGTGCGTATCTTGGAGATGTTGCGGAGGTGGAGCCTGCAAGATCTAGATAGCAGTTGGATGTGGGGTAGGAAGGAGAGGTGGGAGTCCAGGTTGACACCCAGGACTTTGGCGTGTGGGGTGGGAGAGATAGTGGCGTTGTTAGTAGTGATGGAGAGGATGGGGGGGGCACGGGGTGGGGGGAAGACCAGGAGCTCGGTTTTGGATAGGTTAAGTTTGAGGAAATGGAGAGACATCCAGTCTATGTCGTTTTAGGAGGTTGGCGATGCGGGCAGAGAGTGAGGTGGGGGGTGGAGAGGTAAATTTGGGTGTCGTCGGCATAGAGGTGGTAATTGAAGCCGTGGGAGTGAATAAGTTTGCCAAGGGAGGAGGTATAGATGGAGAAGAGGAGGGGCCCGAGGACAGAGCCTTGGGGGACCCCGACAGAGAGAGGGAGGGGGAGGTAGCAGTGTTGTAGGTGACGCTGAAGGAGCGTTGGGAAAGGTAGGAGGCGAACCAGGAGAGAGCAGCGTCCTTGATGCCAAGGGAGTGCAGTTTGGCAAGGAGGAAAGGGTGGTCAACAATGTCGAAGGCCGTGGAGAAGTCGAGGAGCAGGAGGATAGAATAGTAGCCATTGGCTTTGGCAGTTAGCAGGTCATTGGTGATTTTAAGTAGGGCGGTTTCGGTGGAGTGCAGGGGGGCGGAAGCCAGACTGTAGGGGGTCAAGGAGGTTGTTATCAGTGAGGTGGGCGCTTAGGCGATTGTAGACCAGGCGCTCAAGGAGCTTGGAAGTGAGGGGCAACAAGGAGATGGGTCTAAGGTTGTTGAGGTTAGTGGGGTCAAGGGAGGGTTTTTTGAGTATGGGGGTGATGTGTGCGTGCTTTAGAGAGGAGGGGAAGGTGCCGGTGGAGAGGGAGAGATTGAAGATGTGGGTGAGGGATCAAATGATGGAGGGGGGGAGGGGTGACTGGAGCTGTGAGGGGATAGGGTCCAGGGGGCAGGTGGTGAGGCGGGCTTCAGTGAAGACCTTAGAGTCGTCCTCGGGGGTAGT